CGCTGGGCTGCTAGCCACAAGGTCAGCAGTTTGAAACCACCAGCCGCTCTTCAGGAGAAACATGAGTCTTTCTACTCGTCGAGAGTGACAGTCTTGGAAACCTATAGGAGTAGTTCTACCCTGTCCTATAGGGGTCGCCCATGTGTCAGAATCGACTCGATGGCAGTGAATTATATGAGTTGGAATGATCTCAATGGAAGTGAACTTGGAGTTTGGTGTGTGTGTGTGTGTGATTTTTAAAACTCAGTTTCTTAGGGAAACTCTTAACGGAACTATACTCAGCCGCCTCCGTTCTCAAAAAGTAAAAAAAATCATTTACAGGAACAGAAAAGTCTCAGAAGAAAATAAATAACAGTCTTTATTATATCCTGATCACACAGTACAAATGGAGATTAAATAAGCACAAGAGGAACGTGGGGTGGGGGCGGGGCATAATAGCATGCAGGAGTCCCCTTTCTTCCTGCCCCTGAAGACCCCACGCCCTGATCAATAAATACCCATTCCCAGGGACCGAGTGGCCCGGGCCCCGACTGTCCAGGGTGGGGAGGTTTGGATTGCCCCCTCCCCTCGTATTTTCCTAGGCTGAATCTTTACGCAAGGAGCCCGGGGGCACACTGGGCAAGAGCTAGACTGCTACCTGAGAGGCCGTTGCTTGGAACCCACTAGCAGCGGCGGAAGAAAGACCTGGCGACCCACTACCGTAAAGACTGAGAAGCCCTCTGGGGGAAGTTCGGCTCTGTCCTAAAGGGCCGCTGTGAGTTGCGATGGACTGCACAGGCACGGAAGAAAGACCTGGCGACCCACTTCATTAAAGACGTACAACCTTAGAAGCCCTATGGGGGGTGGGGGGTGGGCAGTGCTGCTCTGTCCTGGTCCACGAGTCGCCACGGCCTGCGCAGGCTGTTGGCATCTTTCGTAGAGCCCACCGCCATCATGCCACCTTTGCGCCACCAAGGATCCCCCCCTCTGGCATTCCCCTACTTCCCACCCCCACCCCCAAGGTCTTCTCCGGCCCCGCCCCCATTTACACCTGGACCCGGTAGCCCCCTGAGCGCCGCCGGCAGAGCCTCCGCACGCCCACCCAGTACAGCGTCAGCATGACCAGCCAGTAGCCCAGGTAGGCGCCGGCGCCCGCGGCCAGGTGGCGGGCCTCGGCGGCCCGGGAGGGCCCGCTCCAGTCGGACGTGGCCTCCTGGACCACGCTACGCACCAGGCCTCCGAGCAGCAGCAGCGCCCAGAGGGCCAGCGGCAGCACGGGCACGTAGTTGGCAGCCAGCTGGCGGCGGCCCGACGTGCCCCAGCCGCTCTGGTTCATGGTGGCCAGCGCCAGGAACTTGGCGGGCAGGAGGCCGCCCATGTAGAGGGGCGCGTAGAGCGAGAGCAGTACCATGCGCCCGCAGCCCCGCAGCCAGGCCGCGAAGGCCGCCTTGGCCAGCGCCACGCCCTGCACACACAGCAGCACCCACAGCAGCGCCCAGGGGCGCCCGGCGTAGAAGAGCCGCAGCACCGTGGCCGCCACGAAGAAGGGGAAGAGGCCCGAGACCACGGCCTCGTAGGTCATCCAGGCGTGGTGCCGGTGCCACCACAGCGCGTTGTACAGCCACTCGCGGAAGTAGGACTTGGACCAGCGCGTCTGCTGGCTGAGCCAGCGCAGGAAGGAGGAGGGGGTCTCCGAGTAGCATCGGGACCGGGAGGTGTACCTGCAGGGGTGGTAATTATGTTCAATTTGTAACAATACAATACACTCTGCATATGAAATATTTACATTATGATTCATAACAGTAGCAAAATGACAGTGATGAAGTTGCAACGAAAATTATTTTATGGTTGGGGGGCGGGTCACCACCACATGAGGAGCTGTATTAAAGGGTCTCGACATTAGGAAGGTCGAGAACACTGCTCTGGGGAAGACTTCCTGTGGGGGCTCCAGTGGAAGGTCCTGTCTTTTCAGCTTCTGGTTTTGGGTCATTTCCATGTAGCGTGGTATGGCTCTTCCATCTCCGCTCGTTGAATAGGCTTTGAGATCTTTTTTATCTCAAAAGAGATCGATTTAAGACTCACTTTGTGTGTGTGTGTGTGTGTGTGTATTTGGCACAATTCAATCTGAACATGCACCAGAAGCTGTATTGATTTCCTCTGTGGGAGGTGAGGTGGTGGGTTGGTGGACCTTCTCCAAGACCCCTGTGGCATCAACAGTGTGGATGGTAGCCTTTGGGAGGGGGCTAGGGTGGAAGCAGGGATCACTGATACTCAGATGGGTGCAGCTTAGAGACAAAGGTGGAGACCGAGGAGGTGAAGGTGGGCCGTTCTGGGTCTCATCTAAAGCCATAGTCAAAGGGGATTCACTGATACATCAACTGGTGGCGTCTCAGGTTACACACTGGGCTGCTAATTGCGAGGTCAGAAGCTTGATCCTACCAGCTGTTCCCTGGGGGAAAGACGCGGCTTTCTACTCCCACAAAGATTCAGTCTCAGAAACTCGCCCTGGGGGGG